AAGGAAGCGGCCAAGGAGTTGCTTAAGGTATTTGAGGCACACTCTCTCACTCAAATACCGAGGGCTCAGAACTCCGAGGCCGACATATTATCTAAGCTCTCGGCCGACTCCCCCGAGCACATCTCCAAAATTGCCAAAATCGAGGAACTCAGCCTCTCAAGCATCCATGCAAGCCCCGTTATGAACATACAACAACGTCAGGAGGATTGGATCTCAGATATCACCGCCTTCATCTCCACAGGGCAGCTACCCGAAAATGAGACCCGCGCTAAACTAGCAAAGCTGAGGGCTCCCAGCTACACCATCGAAGATGGAAGGCTCTACAAACGATCTTACAATGGCACGCTACTTCGGTGCCTTCATCCAGATGAAGCCGAGGTCGCAATGGAGGAAGTGCACAGTGGCACTTGCTCAGCTCACCAGGGACCCTTCTCCATGTTCCGAAGGCTCATTCTCCAGGGCTACTTCTGGCCAACCATGGCCAGGGATTGTGCTGACCTTGCCCGGAGGTGCACCGCATGTCAACATTTCCAGAAAACTCCCGGCAGGCCAGCGGTCAACTATGCCCCCATCAGCACCTCTGTCCCCTTTTCTCGATGGGGGATAGACCTTGTGGGCCCTCTGCCGAGGGGTACCTCCAACAACAGATACATCATCGTGGTCGTCGACTACTTTACCAAGTGGGTAGAGGCTGAACCCCTCGCCAGCATCACAGAGGCGAAGTGCCGTCACTTCGTCCTCAAGAACATCCTCACAAGGTTTGGCGTCCCCCAGCAGATCATCTCCGACAATGGGACACAATTTGAGGCAGCCCCCTTCTGTGCCCTTCTGGAGGCATGGGGCATCAAACACACCTTCTCCTCCGTTGCCTACCCTCAAGGCAACGGGCAAGTAGAGAATGCCAACCGGACCTTGCTCGAGGGCCTAAAAAAGAAGCTAGAGGCCGAGGGCGGCGGCTGGGTGGAAGAACTCCACAACATCCTTTGGGCCTATCGCACCACCCCTCGGCGAGCAACAGGTGAAACACCCTTCTCCCTCTGCTACGATTTTGAAGCCAAAGCTCCTACGGAAGTCACCCTTCCCACCCGAAGGGTGATCCAATATGACCCCGAGGTCAACGACAGCAACATGGCCCTCGACCTCCACCTCATTTCAGAACGCCGGGAGCAGGCCTTCATCCGGGCAGAAAACTACCGAAGGCAAGTTAAAAGCTACATCGACGCCAAAGTTCGCACCCGAGAATTTCAAGTGGGGGACTATGTCCTCCGGAGGAGGGAAGCCAGCCAACCAACCGAGGGAGGAAAAATGGCACCAAAATTCGAAGGCCCCTACATCATAGCAGCCATCATCAAACCTGGGACCTACAAGCTCAAACGCCCCAACGGGAAAGAAGTCCCTAGGCATTGGAATGTACACCATTTAGTTAAGTTTTATCAATAATGTAAGAGCGGCCAAGCCCTCATTACCAGTGAATGTACTATCCTATGGCCCAAGGCCTCCAATTTCGAAGAATGAAGATACATTCAAGACATCAAGCCCTCATACTGACTACAGGCCCCCGGCCTCACCACGAGAAGAACCCCCTCCGGCACCAAGTACCGAGGGCGGACACCATCAACACCTACAACAACAGTGAAAACACCACATGTTTTCTCTCAAGACCCCTCGGTACCAAGTACCGAGAGAGGGAACTCCTATCACCAACAACAAAGAACGCCATGTAATTCATTTCCCTTCGGCACCCAGTGCCGAGGGTACATCCCCCCCTTCAACATTAAAAAAGAAAAAGATGAGAACACCAAGTGTTCCTATAGAAACGAAGTACCGAGGGTACACCTCCATCATCAAACATCGAAACGAAGAAAAAACACCAAATGTTTCAAAGAAGACCCCTCGGCACCCAGTGCCAGGGATATGCTCTCCTGTCAACTTCCAAACATCTGTTGGGAAACACCAAGTGTTTCATTTGGAGACCCTTCGGTACCAAGTACCGAGGGTAGACGCCTACATCAACTACAACAAAAGAGAACACCAAGTGTTCCCACAGAAGACCCCTCGGTACCAAGTACCGGGGGCTACACATCGAAACTAACACCAAGTGTTGTTTCTAAAAGTCGTACCCCACGAGGACGCATATACCGAAGGCGCCACCATCGGTGCCGGCGGCACGTAGTGCCCCCGGCCATTTGCAACTAGTGTGCAAATGAAAACCCTTCCTTGAAACGCTTTCTGCGTCACTACCCCCAGGGTATGACAGGCATGAGAAATGTCCAGGATTCGACTTTCAAAACCGAAACGCTCCCCGCGCCACCACCCCAAGGGTGTGACAGGCCACGGACTATGTCTAGCGCCGAGGGGACGACTTTCAAAAATGAGGCGCTTTCCGCGCCATCCCCCAAGGGGAGGCAGGTTACGGACCACCATATCTTGTACCCAGGAAACGTCCCTCGATCCCCTCGGAACTCGGAAGGTTAACCCGAGGGAGGAGAGCCATTGGTGTATTCTGATGGTCTCCTAATAGGCCCAGCCTTACCAAGAAACCAAGTTTCTTGATGCCTTCCCTTCACCACCAACCACAAAAAAAAAACAAAAAAAAAGAGGGGGTGAAGGGGAGTAGACTCAGCGAGAAATCGAAGAGTACACTCCAACAAAATCATGGGAACACCTCCGGTAACTGAAGGCTCCTATTTCCCGAAGGATACTACTCGAACAAATAGCAGCAAGGAACGGCTAAGTCCACTGCCTGGTCACCTCCGGTCACACAAACACCGAAGGCTTCAACAATACAAAGGGACTGGACTATCCAAAGTACACTAAGACGGTACCTTCAAACATATACCAAAGGCATCTGTCACGCACTAGTACCGAGGGCCCTTTCCCCATGACAAGGGTCAAATTCTACAACTTTTAAAGTGTATGCCGAGGGCACACACTCCTCATTGGCTTTCTTCACAACAACAGGATTCAACATCAATGTATGCTTAGAAAATATTCTAAGTCCTGAATGAGCAGCCCCCGGGCATCTCGCAAAATAATGTAGAGTCAGAAGCCACCCATCACCCGAAGGCTCTACATCCGGAAGCTTGACATCACTTTACACTTGCAAAAAATTCTAAGTCCTGAAGATTGGGCCCCCGGCCCAATCAATATTACTGCCAAGGGAATATGGTAGCCGAAGGCCAGGCAATACAACAACGCTTAAAAAATATTCTGTCCTAAATGAGCAGCCCCCGGGCACCTCGCAAAGTGATGTGGAATCAGAAGGGATGCCATCTCCCGAAGGCTCCCAAGGGAAAATCTACACTTAGAATATTTTCTAAGTCCTACATGTTTTTCCCCCGGTCAACTACTCATGCATCAAGGAGGGATGCCATCTCCCGAAGGCTCCCAAGGGAAAATCTACACTTAGAATATTTTCTAAGTCCTACATGTTTTTCCCCCGGTCAACTACTCATGCATCAAGGAGGGATGCCATCTCCCGAAGGCTCCCAAGGGAAAATCTACACTTAGAATATTTTCTAAGTCCTACATGTTTTTCCCCCGGTCAACTACTCATGCATCAAGGAGGGATGCCATCTCCCGAAGGCTCCCAAGGGAAAATCTACACTTAGAATATTTTCTGAGTCCTACATATTTTCCCCCCGGTCGACTACTCATACATCAAGAAGGGGCTTCACAGTAGCCGAAGGCCTAAAGAATTGGCTAAAGAAGGGGCTCCCAAGGGAAAAACTACACTGAAGAAAATTTTCTAAGGCCTAAAGAATTGGCCCCCGGCCTAATCAATATTCCAGTTGGGGCTTCACAGTAGCCGAAGGCTACGTGACATACTACGCTTGCAAAAAATTTCTAAGTCCTGTACATTGGGCCCTCGGTCCAATATTCACACATCATAAAGGGATATCATCTCCCGAAGGCTCCCAAGGGAAAATCTACACTTAGAAATTTTTCTAAGTCCTAGGAATTGGGTTATTGCAAACACCCGAAGGCTCCCAAGGGAAAATCTACACTTAGAAATTTTTCTAAGTCCTAGGAATTGGGTTACTGCAAACACCCGAAGGCCCTAAGGTGTGCTACACTTAGAAAAATTTTCTAAGTCCTAATTCCTACAGAACCCTCGGTTGCATATCCAGCAGAGGGTGCCCGACTACCGAAGGCTTCCAGGGGCAAGCTACAATAAAAAAATATTCTAAGTCCTAAAACATACATTCAAAGGATAAAGGCATACATCCAAAGCAAGACGAAGGCATGTATTCGACAATGAACAAATCCAAAGGAAGCAGATTGTATATCAAAGGCCCGAGGGCATATGTACTCATTCATTCAAAAAAAAAAGAGAAGTTTGATTGCGCTTTACAAAGGGGGCCGAGGCCAACAATTACAACACCAAAAGGGGGGAATACAATTTAAGAAGGGGGAACTGTAGATATCGCCTCGCTCTCGGCTTCATCCTCTTCACCGCCAAGGCCGCACTCCCGGAGGGTCTCCGAGTCTTCAAGAACCGGTCTCTCTTCCCCCTCGGGGAGCGGGATCCTGACATCTGGCTGGCGGGGGGGAGGCCATAAGCCTCGGGACGGAACTCCTCCGGTGCCACCTGAAAGTGCTTCGCAAGCTTCCGGTAGATGAGGCGTTGGGTGAAGAACTCCCTGCCTTTGTAGTACGAGTCGCCCCTCTCAGCAAGCCACATCTTTCCGGGGCCCCGACCCACTCGTCTACTGAAGCCCCCACCACCGAAGCGAGCCACTCCTTCCGGTCTTCGGCCTTCCACCCTTCGGCCGTGAAGCTGGTCACCGCATCCTCTCGGGCCTTGGAGACGGCCTCTTCTTGAGCCGCGCGGGCTTCATCGGCAGCAATACGGGCGGCCTCGGCGGCGGCCTCCCCGACCCTGGCTAGCCCCTCATTGACCCCTTCGACCCTTGCAGCCTGCACCCTCTGCTCCATGCCGTCGGTGGCCAGCCGGAGAGAGTCCTCGGCTTCAGCAAGCTTCTTCCTGAGGAGGGCGGCCTCCCCCTCGGCGGCACCCTTGGCCTCCCTCATTTGATCCACCCTTCGGAGGTGCTCGCAGAGGCCCATAAAAGTCTGCAATTCACGAAGGCAAGAATAAGGCATAATGAACATAGTACAGAAGGAAAACATAACAATGAGCAAAGAAGGGAGGGTGACTTACGGAGGCAGCATTCAGCATTCAGCATTCAGGGCAGCATTCAAACTGCCCTCCAACACGGAGGCCCCCTTCGGTACTAACGCCTCCAACCTCTCCCGCCCAAAGAACTCCTGATTGATTTGTTCCTGGGGGTGGAGGCAGAAGCGTGCCCTTCGTCCACAATCACCACCACATCGGTGATCGGTTGTTTGGTAGGGGCGGTGGTCTTCGGCTTCTTGGCCGGGGGCTCGGTCCCCTTTCCAGCAATCTTCTTTTTGACGGGCCCAGCACCCTTGGACCCTCCGGCGCCAGCAGCAGCGCCAGCAGTTTGAGAGGGCCCCTCCCTGGCAGAAGCGCCCGCCGGGGCCTTCTTCTTTCCTTTCGCGTTTTTCAAAGCGAAGAGGGAACCAACGTCCATATTGTTACCTGCAAGCAACAAAAAAAAACAGGAGGGTTAGATCGAAGGCTACCAGTTGCTACGTCATAAAAAAAAAGCGGAATAAGAGAGAACTATCAACGCATCAGTGAACAATTCGGTGATCACCTCTGGCGCCTTCGAAGACCCTATCGAGGGGAGGATATCTCTCATCCGAAGAGCCCCTCGGCCTGAACTGCCGGAAGCCCAGGCTAAGCAAATCCTCCGGAAGGGTGACTTCTCTGATCTTGACATGCTTGTCAGACCCCTCCGGCTTCTTGGCAAGCACTTTGCCATTCTTCTCCAAAGCTGCGCTCCCCACCTTCGGGTGGCGCCGGAAGCTATTACGGAGCTGGGCCGGGAAGGGATTCTCCTCGAGGCGGATATAGCAGAACCTCTCTTTCCACCCCTTGTGAGACGAGGGCACATCATCAAAAAGCCGGAACTCCGGTACCTGCTGAAGGTTGGCAAAGCCCTCAGCATTTGAATGTCCCCCCCGGCAAAGGTTGAAGGACATGAAGAATTGATCGAGTGTGGGCTCGACCCCCCGGCTCTGACACAAGGAGAGGAAGCCGGCCACATAGGAGTGGCTGTTGGGCGTTAGCTGGCAAGGGGCCAACCCCACAAATCTCAGATACTACAAGAGAAAAGGATGGAGCGGGAACCGGAGCCCCATCTCCACCGAGAGGGTGTGAGCAGCAAAGCACCCCTCGGGCGCGTATCGCAGCAAATCATCCGCCCTGGGCTCCACCACGCGCGCCGAAGGTCCAACCAGCATCTGGGTGGACTGGAATTCTGCCGGGGATGCCTTCGTCTTCAGCTCTAGAGCGGCAGTATTCAAGAACGAATGGCCCTCGGGTATGCCCACCGGCCGCTCGGCATCCACTGCCGCTTGCTTCTTCCTCGGGGCCGCCTTCGTCTTGTGTTTCTTCCCGGGAGCCACACTTATGGGCGTCGGGTCCAATGGCCGGGAGGAGCTGGCTTCCCCGGCACCCCGGGGGGGAGGAATGGCAACTGTCACCTTCAGCCTCTCCCTCTCCTCTTCCTGCTCGGCGGTTTGCACGGCGAGGGCAAGCTCTTCATCCTCGTTTTCTTGCTCGAAGCCCTCGGCTTCGACTTCGGCCTGGAGGTCCTTCTCCACTTCCATGGCCACTGCGGCATCACCACCTGCCGAGGACTCCACACTCGAAGACTCCACATCTGAGCATGTCTCCATATCTACCGAAGGCTCCCCCGAGATATCCTGGGAATCACTCTGGGACGACATGCTGACTCTAGTTCGAAGGCTCGTAGACGCTAGTGTTTTCTAAATTTTCTATCTCCTAACCTAAGGGCACAGTACAGGTAGCTAAGAGGTGAAGGGAAAGCGGGCACTGACCTTGAAAGCAGAAGTTGTGACCGAAGGCCTGAGTTTCTCTCACTAGAATTTTGGGCAGAGCTTCGCTTAGACAAATGATCGCACAAGGGGAAATGGCTCTGGCCTTGGGGTATTTATAGGCGCTGGAATCCGGGCTTGGGCCCGGAAACCGGGCCTCCGGACGGACCGTCATCATTACACACCGTCGTTTCACCCAACCGGTGACGCCGCCCGCGAACAGCCAGCCATCACACGCCACGTGTGCCACCCCCCCCAACGGCTATATCCTGTCGTTACATATTCCAACGACTATATTTCCAACGGCTATATTCTGGAAGCCCCCGAGTTTTCTACTTCACTCCACTTCATCAAGGATAGCCTCCGGGTACACTCACTCAGAAGTGCCCCCGGGTTGTGCCCCACACAGCACATAACAGACGCCTTCGGGATCACTCCTTCAGAAACCCAGGGCTTCATATCAGGGCACCCCTCGGGGATTCCCCCTCAGCACTGCAAAACCGGGGTAGCCCCCGGGGAGTTGCCTCATTGACGGATGACCCATGGCACCCAGGTAATGGGAGCCCTCGGGTATCTTCACCACCAACTAATCAACAAGCAGTGGACCCCCCGGTAACAACTCCATTACCGCCCTCATCCAGCAGGCCCTCGATCCCCGAATGGAGGGGCTCCCCTTCGGCGCCACCAGGACATCAACAGCAAGCCTTCGGCTAATCAACACAGGAGCCCGCAGAAGAGAGAGCCTTCGGCATTCCCGTCATTCTCCATTTTTTACCAAGGTTTGACATTTTCGATTCATCATTGGGGGAATTCGGTGCACTCTTTTTCCCTCATTAGGATTTTTTCCCGAAGGGTTTTTTCCTAATGAGGTTTTTAACGAGGCATCCCCCCAAAATGAAACGAAAGACGACAGCCTTCGGCCCACAACAGCAACGCAACTACTCTACTCCTTTTCACCACTTTACAAGTGCCTCAAGGAGTGGGGGACTGGAGGACCCCCTCGGGAAAATCATTAAATTACAAAAGATGTAGAAATTCCAACAAACAACAGAGCAAGCCCTCAAGTCCCGACATGTGGGTAACTGAGGGACTGCCTTCGGCAGGGACATAAAAGCAACAACTCCTCACCAACTTCAGAGATCACGACGGGACAACATCAAGGGGCAAACACAAATTACTCCTTTTCCCTCAAGTACCTTTCGGCAAAAGGAGTGAGGGACTCCTGATGGAGTATATGGCCCGGGAACCCCCGGCCCACAGACTCCTACTACTCCAGCGAAGGCCCAACAGGCCCAAATCACAGCGCCCAAAGTACCAAGCAGTCCGCACTACGCGCCAGGGGTGCCTTCGTCCCCCTGGCCGAAGGCTCCAAATTCTCACAGAACGAGTTTCTCAAGCAAATTAAGAAACTGGGAGAAAACGGCGAAAACAGTAGCCCTCGGCATTGTGAGCCCTCGGCACCAGGGTGCCATCAGGTGGAAGAGCCCTCGGCTACTGCTCTATAGCCGAAGGCATCTCACTCGACAAGATATCCGCCTCACATGCGTACAGATCACCGTACCCCGCATAGACGTCCCATCCAACAGCCGCATTAAATGCGGCCACATGCGGCTGCCAGCGCCAACCAGTTGAGGTGACCCCTCGGCCAATGAGCGCTTGACACGTGTCCCTGTCCGGCATTTATTGCTACTATAAATAGCACCTCATTTCCTCATTTGTAACCACGCTGAAAACGGCATCCATACTGAATACACTCTCTCTCTACTTTTACTTACTTGCTCTGGCTTCTCTCTAAGTTATTCCCCGTAATAACCCTTCGGATATATACCCCGGGTAGACTATCCATCAGATGAGAGTGTGAGTTTCTTTTAGAAACGGGGGTAGTATATCACAAATGCTAAAGTTACCTCAAAATGTACCCCATCTTTCCTCTACCCCTAATGTGTGGCCATAATGGAACAATTTATTTAAGTGGGACACTACTTAAATAAATTGGCCCAAAATGGGATAAAAATGGGATATATTTTGGATACCAAAGCTCATACTCCCTCCGTCCCTTATAACTTTGTCAACTTTCCTTTTTTGGATGTCCCATTAACTTTGACATTTTCTCTTTTAAGTAAAGAATTTGTGGTTTCAGTTAATTCTCCCTCCTCTGCACAAACTTCAACCACACAACTTTTACTTTATTAATCTCCGTGCCGGTCAAACTTGGCAAAGTTATTAGGGACAGAGGGAGTACATACATACACACATACACACACACACACACACACACATATATATATATATATATATATATATATATATATATATATATATATATATATATATATATATATATATTGTGATGTAGTACATGCTTAGATTCTAGTCACACAAAAATCATCACCAGGTGTGAATGTGTGATGATGGCCATTAGAGCTTCAGCTACCTCTAAACTACCACTTCCAAGAGCACCTTCTCGGCAGCTGAAGTTCTCTATTCTCCCAAAGCTCCCACCCATAAAGCCTCAATTCAGTCCCAACTCCTTTTCAGTGTCACTTACAACTTCAACTGCACTCTCCCTCCTCCTCTTCACCGCTCCACCCTTTGAAGCTAAAGCACTTACCCTTCCCAAGGAGGAGATTATCTCTTCCCTTAACCAGGTAAGAATTTCTTCTTATTTCATCAACATTGAAATGTTTGGGATCTTTTGCTTGCCTATTTTTCTTCGATCTTTTCAATTTTGCTAAAGTGAATGCATATGATTCTAGTCCACTATTTCTGCAGGTTCCCTAACAATCATATTTTTCTATGATTATAATTCTGAAGCCTAAAAAAATACTTCGTACATCACTTGTTTCAATTTTCTTGAATATACTATGTTAAAACTGGGGAGTTGGGAAACTGTTTTAGAAAATCTGCCGGATTTCTAAGAGTATCGTGTGATCACTTTCCGAATCTAATATTTCGACCCTATATATAGACCACGAACTAGCAGTTTTAGTAGAACTCGAATTCTTCTGATTACCAAAGAGATAAGGCCAATCAGTTAGAGTTTTACTCTAACAGAAAGTCATTCTATTAAATAATTAATATGGACATGTTTATCCGAAAATAAATTTCCATATTTATTTCTTTAATAAAATAAAATTTTGGTCCGGGGCGCTGCCCCGAGCCCCGCGAGGGAGGCCTCCCTCGACCCCGCCAGGGGCGCTGCCCCTTGGACCCCCGCAAGGGGGCGCAGCCCCCTTGACCCCCGCCATTTAATCGAACCAAGTTTAAATTTAATTTCGTACAAGTGTGCGCTCCGCACCTCCTAACTTGTCTAAAATTAACTTGAACTCCATTGGTAATCTGTAAATTCCATTACACTAAAATGAACATGGTGATACTAAAATCACCAACATACTACACTGTTCATAATGTGAAGGTCATATTTAATGTGGATTTTATGTATACTGTCACTCTCTATGTTTTGGTCAAGCCTTTTTGATTGAGATTTTGTTGATCCCCATTTCTTAAAGCTGGACATTTGCTAGGTTGAGTCTACAATCAATCAAATACAGCGGTTGGGCTTGAGCGCTTTTGACACTGGTGAGCGAGTGATAGGACCTGTTGTTGAGCTCTTGAAGCCTGGCATTTACATGGCATTACCTATTTTAAAGCAGGCCATAGAGGAAGTGGTGAATATTGCTTCCCCTGTGATTTCTCGTACATCTATGAAAGCTTTAGAGGCAATTCAAGACTCGGGCATTGAAACTCAGCCTGCTCTAGCTGCTGTCCAGGTTTTGCTTTGATTTTACAACGGCTAGTAGCTGACTTTGTAGGAAACCCTGATATTTAATTGATTTCCAAAAAATTATGTTTTTGTATTTACAAAATAGCTTCTTTATAATGTGAAGCTATAAGTATCTATTTATTTAAGTAGCTAGATAGTGGTTGTTTACCTGTCATTGAAACAAGATTAGACCATGTTATTTGTTTGCACGAATTGTTAAAGTTTTACATCGCACATTTACATCTGTGGCTAATATTTAACTAGGGGATTAAACACGTCAGATGATCCTTCTAGAGTAAGTTAGATCCAATTTAATATGCTAACTGTGATTAGTTTGTAACCCCCCCATATTTTAAGGGTGTGTAGATGTCCACTTTAGATTTTTTACAGATCATTAGCTAATATATAAGTACAAAATAAACTTTCTCTCTTTTTGGGGTAACTTAGGCCCAATTCTATAATCATTTCGTGGAAAATGATTGCATATTTTTGTTTCAGACACTGGCTAATGCTGTGCAGCAAACATCTATTGTAATTCAAGGGGCCATTCCTATAGCTTCATCAACAGTACAATCCATCTTATCGGCAGAACCAGCTCTCATTGCGGGGACTGGCGGGGGACTTTTTGTTTCATATATCCTGCTTCCACCCATTTTTTCGACCATCTTTTTCCGCCTCCGTGGCTACAAGGGTAATAGACTGGCTTTATCCTTCAGTTGTTCCTTGTTTGAAAAAGGCAATGTACTTCCTTGCTTGTTCAGAAAAGGAAAGTGACATTAAGGATTGACTCAAGCTGTACTACTGTGATATATGGAAATGCCTAGGGAGAAGGGTATTCAGTGTCTAACATATGGTGAAAGTTGAAAATAAGATTAGAAGTAAAACAAGCACATACTCACAAACAAGGGCACATACTCACTCTTAATGACACCGGACATGATGTGATTTTGCAGAAACTACTACTACCGTATATATTAGAAGTGGATTAAGGTCATGCACTAATTTTCGAGTAGATGATAGATTAAATTTAAATTGAGAGACATATAAACATCAGATAATGAAATTAGGGAGGGGTATATGTGGCGTCGATGCCTGTAAAGGCTTTAAAATCACCACTTGGAATGGATATATAAAAGTGGTGTGGGGAAATAAGGGAGAAGGGGTGCCTAAATATAGAAGGTTTGAAACTAACATGGTCAATTTCTTGAACATATTAGGTGCTTGCATTAATTGAAAATGCTCTTTTAATACTTTCACCTTTAGAACACCAGCTTTACCTTCCTCTTTTCCTGATTCACTTCATTATGTTTTGATAGCTTTTAACTGTATTGAGAAGCATTATTTGGAAATGACTCCCAGGTGACCTGACTCCTGCTCAAACATTGGACCTAATGTGCACAAAAAATTACATTATGGTTGATATCAGATCAGAGAAGGAAAAAGAAAAGGCTGGAATTCCTCGCCTTCCACCCAATGCTCAAAATACAATGGTTGCAATTCCGTAAGTGGACTTCTAAATAAAACACAATAGTTTTGTAGTGCAAGGGAATCCTACAAAGAGGGTAAATGCTTAGCTCAAACAGAAGGTGGTGCTTTGCATCTTTCATCTGATTTGCATGTTCTTTCAATATAATTATTAAGCCAATTTGTGTGTGTGTTATTGCATCTTTAATCTGCTTTTACATGGATTACCACGTCACATCCCCCCTCCCCTCCCCTCCCCCTTTAACATGAAAAAAGATACTCATGTCCTTGTTTTAGATACACTTTTGTACTCCCTCCGTCCCATTTTAGTTAGCCAAACTTGACTTTTCAAGTTATTGGTATCTAACTTTGACTGATTATATATTTATATTTATATACAGAAGTATTGATAATATGATAATTTAATGAAAATGTTCTTTGTTAAAAATACTAGCATAAAAGTATAAAATTATTAAATATTGTATAAATATATTAGTTAAAATAATTAGTTAAAGTTTACCATCTTTGACCAGAAAAGTCAAAGATGCTAACTAAAATGGGACAGAGGTAGTATTTGTTTTCTGTCTCAAAAATATGAACACTTCTTAATTTGAACTCCACTAGCTTTTACTCCCCACTTTATCCTTTTATATCTTTCATTTCACTTTTTACTTGTATTCATACTACTTTTTCTTCCTTTTAGAAGGTTACCGTGTTTAAATAACAACAATCTCCTTTATTTTCTTAAAGCTCGTGTTGAATCCAAATTTTCTTATATTTTGGGACAAATAGAGTACAGAGTCAGTGAGTTTCATTCATTCTTTTCGATTTTGGTTCAGTTTAGAAGAGTTACCAAGTAAGGTAAGAGGTCTAGTGAGGAGTCCAAAGAAGGTAGAAGCTGAAATGGTAGCTTTCAAGATATCACATCTGAAGAAAATCAACAAGGGTTCTAACATTGTAATCATGGACTCGTAAGTTCATTCCCCTCCTGGGAGTTGGGTTTGCACTTCTCATTCATCAACTTGAATAATGATGATATGTGCTCATGAAATGGGCAGGTATTCAGATTCAGCTAAAATAGCAGTTAGAGCACTGACTAGGCTGGGATTCAAGAACTGCTGGGTTGTAAGTGGTGGCTTCTCTGGAAGCAGAGGGTGGTTGCAAACCAAGCTGGGATCAGATTCTTACAATGTTTCATTGACTGAAGTAGTTTTTTCACCATCTCGTGTCATCCCTACATCAGCAAGACGTTTTGGAGCAAAAAACCCCATGAAATTGCTTTCAGGGAGTACAGATTAAAACCTTCCTTTTTCTATGATAATGTTTACCAATTATTCAAGTTGATGCGTGTAACATGTTAATGAAATTCATTTATTTTTTCCTGAGTTGATCAGATAATCTGATTTATGGCATGGTTGTTAATATGCTTAAGCAAATATGAATTATCATACCATTTACAAAATCAAGAATAAGATGTTAATTTAAGTCATGTACAAATTCTTCTTAGATGTCTACTTGTACAACTGATATGAAATATATAATAATGTATTGGACTCTGTTGTTAGAAAATTCTATGGAGAACTAATAATGTTGTCCAAACTCCAATTTGAAAGAAAAGTGGTATGCAAACTATATTTTGTGAAGATACCTTATCAAGAGATTCCATCGTGAAGATGAAGTGATAAATTGTGTCTCAATTTTAGTAGCATAATTAGGACTAATAAAGGCTCTTTTATAGTGAGGTGACTAAATAAACTAAGCATGCTTACTGCCTTTTCGGGTATATATCAAGTGATGTAAATATGTAAGCCCCTTTTTTGTTGGTTAAAGCACGAGCATAACTCAAACGTATTCATGCGGTTTAGTGTATATGATCTTAAATATCAAGGTATGTCGGCAATCCTTTTCGATTTCAGATGTTGGGATAATAAAGATAACTGGCAATACTTAATATCCCAATGTATTTCATGCTCATTATTAGGGGTGGATTGGACTGGGTCTACCCGGCCCGAGAACTGGACTGACCCGCCACTGTGCAGGACCGGCCCGACCCGGTTGCCCATGCCTAGGGCCCGACCCGGGGGGGGGGGGGGGGGTTTGGGCTGGGTCACGGGTGAGTGGTTCTTTGGTACCAGCCGGGCCAGACTGAGCCCAGTCCGAGCCGAGCTTGGTCCGGGTCAATTTTTTTTTCTTCAAATTCTTTGAGAGGTAAATGGGTTGAGCTGGGTGTTTTGGAGGGGTTTGGGGTGTGGGGGGTGGGGGGTAGGAAGTAATTAGGAAATATAAAAAAAAAATAAGTTGCCCGAGCCCGGCCCAGGCTCAGTAGAATTCCGGGTTGGTTCCGCGCTTAACCCACAACAAAAAAAACTCGGTTTGGATCGGCCCAGAGCCTGGTTTGGCCCGGAACCGGTCCATGCCTACTCATTATATTCAAAAGAGGATCGTTAATATCCCAATATACAGCAAATTATGTCGTTAGATCGGTGCACCATCCCCATGGTGTACCAATCCCAAAACTAGGGTTGGACTCGGGTCCGGGCCGGGTCCGGGTCGGGCCTAGGCCCGGGCGGGCCGGCGGGTCAGAAATGGTGGACCCGGGACCAACCCGGTTAACCACCGGGTCCGGGCCGGGCCGGGCCCATTATAATTTTTTTTTTTGTTTTCCTCTTCCTAAGTAACCCCCCTCCCACCCCCAACCCCCAAACCACCCCAAATGGCCCAAAATACCCAGCCCAACCCAAAACTTTAAAAAAAATTGCAAAAAAAAAAAAAATTGTTTTTGGCCCGAACCGGGCCCGGGCCCGGCCGGGTCGGGCCTTGTTTTGGGTGACCCGAGCCCGGACCGGAAAACCCACGGGCCGGGCCTACCCGGACCGGTCACTGACCGGGCCACCGGGTCGGGTCGGGCCGGAACAGTACCGGTCCCAGGCCGGTTCCGGGTCGGGCCACCCGGCCCGAGTCCATACCTACCCAAAACGATATAGTTTTTACTCCGTATTAATTAAAAAGGCTAGTATCTCTTGTTGCGTAAAGGCGCCCGGTCCATCCCTAGTGTCCTTGAGACAGCGGCACGGCGGCGCTCAACCTTGATGGCAGATTTGATGTGTCAATCTTGTCTTCCTTCATGTCCAACAGTCCAGGTAATCCAGCAGCGTGTTCACATATAGTATCTGGGCGGTGGTGTAGTGCGTGTGTGTATGTGTGAGTGTGTCTGTGTGTGTGGGTAGTTTCAAGAAGTTGGTGGGATTTTCATATCATTTGGAATTGGTAATTAACCTCATTGAACAATTAATATTCTTTACGCATCTAGATTAATTAATATTGTTTGTCAATCTTATACTACGTTGAAGATGACTCCTGTGAATTACTTTAGATCTTCTTCAATTTACATCTTGTGCGCACTCAAGTTATATCCGGATTTGCCTAAAGTTACATATCTATAAGTATGAGTTACATGTCAACTTTTTTCAACAAGTTATTGTGAAACAAATTTTAAGTATTCACTTAAAATTGATCGCAAATAATAATATGTGAGAATATTGGGTGCAATCTCTAAATATGAATCCTCTGATTCTTCACTTGCAATTTGGCATAAATATAATTAAAGAATTTAATTCAAAATTAAATCTTTAATTCTTCAAATATTAGAATGTTTGTCAGATCTTCAAATCTTCGAACCTTCGTTCTTCGAAACTTCAAACCTTCAAAGTTTTGTTCTTTGAATCTTCGAATCTTCGTTCTTTGAATCTTCAAATATTCTTGATTTAAGAATTCAGCTTGAAGGGCCTCCGGTTTTCAAGTGGCTTGATCTTCAACAAAAGGGCCGTTTTGTGGCTTGATCTTCTGTTTAAGAGCCTCCCGGGATATGTGGCTTGATCTTCAATTGAATCTTGACTCAATCTTCATATGAATATCTTCAAATCTTCAAATGTTCGTTCTTCAGATCTTCGAACATTCTTCAGCTTTTGGATTTATTTTATCAAGAATCGATGAAATCACAAAGGATTATTCGTATATTCTTAATAAAATTTGTGGCTTTGTCTACTCCTCTTCTTCAGAATCGTTCAGAGCCTTTCGGGAGTTTTTCAGAGCTATTCTGCAGCGTTTCTTAGTCTGAAAATTCTCTCCCCTTTCCTCTCAACTGAGACCCCTATTTATAGGTGTGGAAGAGATGAAAATATGCTTTAGGGTTTTGGAAATTCGTCCATATTCCTTGGGCCTCAAATAAAATGGGTTTTGGGCTCTATTTGCTTGCAATTTAATGGCTAGAAAAATCAGCACTTATATAATGTATCTGGACAGCCTTTTTAACAAGGTTCGCAGCCATTTCTCATGCATTTGGATAGATTTCTTGACTGGATTCACTGCTCTCTTTATCAATTGTATCGTGTCTCTTATTCATTGGGCTACTATTTAATAATGGGATCAAAATGGAGAAATTAATAGAACCGGTCCATTATTTTAAAGATTTAATTTATAATTAAATCAATTGGGTATTTTTTTAATGACCCAAATTAGTTCAATTATTAAATTTTATCTGAGTGGGTCCATATTAATATTTTTATAAGGTCCAACAACCATCACGAGCAGCCCAGTAGAATTTAAATTTGCCCAATAACTTTACATGTCTACAGTTACATCACACTTACATGTGATTTACATTTTCTATAATGTGCGTTAAACCACAATATGATGCGAGATACACAACACAATAAGGCCCTGCTATTCAAAGAAAAATTATTTTTATAAAAAATCATATTTATAGACCTGATATTAAAAAAACATACACTATTTATGTAAAATAATTGAACAATTAGACTCCTTTTTTCATTATTTACGTTGAAATCGATGTTTTACTTCATATACTACTACCTACATCCCGGTGGACTTTGCCAAGTGCAAAGTAGGTGAAAAATAAGAAAAGTAAAAATTGTGTGGTTGAGATTTGTGTAGAGGAGAGAGAAATGTGCAGAACCACAAATTAGTTGCTTTAATTGAAAAGTGACAAAGTTTTTTGGGACAACCAAAACGGGAAAGTTGACAAAGTCCAATTGGACGGAGGGAGTATGTTTTAGACAATTTATATTTCAACTTGGCTCAAGTTATATTTCTTTTCAATATGAGTTACATTCTTTCAAACAAGAGTTACATCTGTTGGATAAATAAGAGTATTTCAAATGAATAAATTCTATAATAATATTGTTTTATTAATAAATTAGATATTTTGTATATTCTATTAAAAAAAAATTATTTTAAATTTATTGAGTATTCCCAAATAATACCGTTAAGCCTTCACTGTCCATTTAATATTGGAGTTATAACGTACAAGACATATCAATCATGATATGCAATACGTTGATCATTGTTTTATACTTGTAACATTCATCAACAATCTCAAGAAAGTATTTGGCGTCAGATATGCCTGCACACATGATCTCATAAGGTGTCGTTGTCGCACTCATCGCGGCTATGCTATTTTTGCATGTGTGGTGCGATTTAGAGTGGTATTTGGATATATCTCTACGTATAATGCTTACTATCTTTATTTTTCTACTTACAATAAGCCATACTTTAACACCATTTTTTAATAAAAATGTTATTCTTTTATTTAGTGGTAAAATGACAACTAGGGAAAACAACAACCCACTCAAATCAAGTTTAAACTTGGTTTGTAGTGATGATAATATTATTGCGGTTGTTTCTCAAAGTTGTGAAACTAATGATGTGAATGAGTGGGTGGTAGACTCCGGGGCTACCAAGCATATTTGTAAAAACAAAAATGCTTTTACCTCTTATACTATTATAGGAGATGGTGAAGAGCTCGTGTACCTAGCGGACTCTAAAACCGTTAAGGTGCATGGAAAAGGGAAAGTTCTTCTGAAGCTCACATCAGGGAAAACTTTATCACTAAATGATGTGCTGCATGTGCCCGAGATTCAGACTAATTTGGTTTCCGTTTCTCTCTTGGGAAAAGTTGGGGTTAAAGTTTCTTTTGGTTGTGACAATTTTGTTATGACAAAAAATGACGTTCTTGTGGGAAATGGCTATTGTAAGAATGGACTTTTTGTGCTTAGTATTTCTGAAATATTGCATGATAATGCTTCAATTTATTTAATTGATTCTTACAATGTGTGGCATGCTAGACTAGGACATGCAAGTAATTCTTATATTAAAATGCTAAATGATTGTGGTTTGATTTCTAGTAAAAATAAAATGACACTAGAAAAATGTGATGTTTGTGTTCAATCTAAACTAACCAAAAAACCTTGTCCCTCCACATTTAGGGAATCAGAATTGCTTAGTTTAATTCACACGGATTTAGGTGATTTAAAAACTACCATCACTAGAGGTGGCAAAAAATATTATGTCACCTTTATAGATGATTTTTCTAGATACACTAAAGTTTATTTGCTTAAAAATAAAGATGAGGCTTTTGATAAATTTTTGGTGTATAAATCCGAGGTAGAAAATCAATTAAATAAAAAGATTAAGAGAGTTAGATCGGATAGAGGGGGTGAATATATTTTATTTAATGAATTTTGTGAAAAAGAGGGGATAATTCATGAGGTCACTCCGCCATATTCACCCGAATCTAATGGAATAGCTGAAAGAAAAAATAGGACACTAAAAG